TGGGCTCAGCCGGGATTTGAACCCGGGACCTCTCGCACCCAAAGCGAGAATCATACCCCTAGACCACTGAGCCGCTATGTTTGTGCTGTTCAAAGAAACATACATTTGTATAATTTTAATGCATAACCTCATTAATTTTCAATTTTTTTCAATTTACGCAATTAAAACCTTTAGCAATACGATACATTAAACAGTACGCATAATACTTATTCAGAAATATAGTTTGTAAATTCTGGAGAAAAGGAAGTATCTTGAATTCGTAATTTACTGAAAGTGAATTTCTTCAACAAATTTTTATGTTTTTTAGAAAAATATATTTAACTACAAAGATTAATTTTCAGAGCACGTGTAGCTATAGGATTAAATATACATTATTTCGTATGAATTTCCGAAATTTAACAATTTATTCTCATGAAATACATTTTTCCTGATACTGATTGTTTTTATCCTATTTTCTGATAATTTGTCTAATGACTATTTTTATACACATGAAAGTATACCGATCAATAATATTAGGATACCGGTGTTTATCGATTTATCGATGTATTAATGATACATTAAGACCTGGGTGACACATTATATATTGAAAAATTGAAAAAATTGTTTATATGCTAATACACTACTCGATCGATAATACTTTTAAATTGGATAACTGTGTTGACTATGCAACACTCTTAATCGACTACAATACTACTATAGAGTAAACGTAAACAATGAATAATCACAAAAGAATCATTCATTAATATATATCATCGCATATTAGAATTCAGTTAATGCACGCATTGATATACGTGCGTTCAATATTGTATTACTGATTTAACAATGGATTCAAAATAATGCTTCGTGCCATTTATGCAACACGTTGAAAATAATGCATCTAATAAAATTATTATACAACATTGATTCTATCAATTGTGTAATGTTAAATGATATGGTAATAAGAAGCATAACAGAAGACTTTTATTACATATAACCTCGATTACGTATATACTTGTCATGAAGAATCAGAAAAGAAGTGCCTTTAACACGTTGACTGCCAAGCTACGAGATAACTCGTAGTTGGCAGTTTGCTGGTAGAAGTTACATCCTATTCGGAGACGCCCGACCACGAGATAATTCGAAAGCATTTTTTTGCAAAAAAACAATTAAAATTAAAGTCATAAGATAAAAATTAATATGCTTGTTTAATTCTATACAATACATTGAAAAAAAAATCTTGGCGTCTAGAACAGATTTTTTCAAAATAGGCTTGGCAGTCAACGTGTTAAACTGATTTTACGAAATAATGTTATGCGAGTGGGACAAAAATGGGAACAGCTAAATATCTCCGTTGTTTACAGGTCTACGAAAAAACTGTTCAAGGCAGAGTTAAATTATTTGAAGAGGTGAATTTAGTTACGGTTCAGAAATTTGAATAAAAAAAGAGAACAAAAAAAAAAGGGAACGAAAATTCTCGTCGATGCGCTTGTAAGTACTTATATTTAGAAGTAAAAACAAATGGCCCGGCGTTTTACTTGATAACAAGATGATAAAATGAAAAATCTCTTCAAAGTCATATTTTTCGAGATTTTAAGGTCATCCTTTTCAACTGCTATGGTATATTTTTTTGTCTGTATCCTTACAGAGAATAAACATATTCCTATCATTTACTTAATCTCGAAATATTTTCATCTGAAAGTAAAGCTATAACCAATATTCAAAGTGATAACTGTTAGCTTCAATATACAGGATGTCTGTTTTATCTCAATACAGCGAAATATCTTTTAAGGAAGTGATGTTAAGAAAAAAATGTTTTAACAAAAGTTGTTTGGTATGAGGGGAAAATTATGTGGTATAATATTTTTTTTGCACCGGATATGGTGAGGGAGATTTCAAAGTCAGTTTAATTTTTTTTAATGGAATGCTATATTTTTTTATACATAATATGATAGTGTATGTTAAGACGAATCCAACGAGGTGCGAACAAAGTCATTTCCTTTGATAAAACAGACACACGCGACAGTGAGGAACGTATGGTGGTCCGGCTCCCGGTTTTTCGCAATTTTACGACCGTCCATGAAAGGAAACAACTTTGCTCGCACCTCGTTGGACTCGTCTCAACATACACTATCATATTATGTATAAAAAAAATATAGCATTCTATTTAAAAAAGTTAAACTGATTTTGAAATCTCCCCCACCATATCCGGTACAAAAAAAAATATACCACATAATTTTCCCCCTCGTACCAACCAACTTTTGTTAAAACATTTTTTTCCTAACATCACTTCATTAAAAGATATGTCGCTGTATTGAGATAAAACAGACACCCTGTATAGGGTAGGCCACGTAAAACAGGCCACTTGATTATCTTCTCTAGCTACGATGGTAAAAGAAAATTTTTATACCTAATTTCAATTGTTTCAAAGGGTGAATAAGATGGAAGAAATAACAAAAATTGAAAGGAAGTTTCACGTTTGATTTAAAAAGTTTTAAAGTCCAAAGTTATTTAAGATTATATTCTTAAGCATGTTCACATGCACATTAGTATATTCTACAACATCCAGTAGAAAAAATATATACATTCATGAAAAAAACAGATGATTTTGAAAGAAATAACAATAGAAAAAATGGCATATATAAAAAAATTTTTTTTCCGTCTTACTCACCCTATGAAATCATTTAAATTATGTACCAAAATTTTCTCGTATAACCATAACTAAACAAGATAATTAAGTTGTCTGTTTTACGTGACCCACTTTGTATAATTGAAGTCTTTATTTTATTTCATTGTTCAGCATCTACAAAATCGGTTTGTCGGAATTGTTTCCTATAAAATTTTGGGAATAATTATAAGCTGTACTCTCTGTACACTGTTGTCGCTCGAGAGAAAAATAATCCATGGAATGTGAAAGATTAAAGATCGAACAGTATGTCCAAGCGCGTGTGCGCGAATTGGAGATAGCGATGACAAATCCCGTGAATTCGTTAAACGTTCATTGGCTCGAAGCACAATGTTTACAAGGCCAAATAATTGAATCGGCCTGTTGTGCGGTGCTGCAACCACTAATTTCGTCGGAAAGCCAGGAACATGTAACTATAACGCATGTCTCTAAAAGAAAGTTAATTAACGTAGATTACCCTCTGCGGTTCACTGAACCGACAAATCATACGTTCCGTCGTTCTCGCTAATTCGGAAAGTTTATTAATCACCGTAGCAAGCTAACCTCGTGTTATATTATGCTTAGAACCGGTCTTCGTATCAGCGAATTTGTAATTAACTCGTTTTAATTATATACTAGATTTCAGGATTGTTACGAACAATCGCAGTGGTAAGATCTGTGAGTTATGACACAAACAGAGTTGTATCTTATTGTTAGTCGCAGAAAATTAATTTAGACAGTGATGTAATTAATGACAAGTCGTGGAATTGCTACATTTTTCTTTTAATTTAAAATGCATTCTATAATCTTCGATGGAGTTGTTTTATGCG